CAATTACTAACCAAACTGATCCTCTGCCCAACTCTTGCAGCATTGCCAGACCGCATTGATGCTCGCTGTGTCGCATGGCAATAGTGACATGGTTGCCATGCTGCTCGATGCCGGCGCAGATATCAATATTCAGGATGAGGATGGTAGCACGGCGCTGATGTGCGCTGCGGAGCATGGACGTGTGGACATTGTTAAGCACTTGTTGTCGCAACAGGATTGCGATTCACTGGTCCAGGATGTGGTTAGTATTAAACTTGGGTCTTAGCCTGCAGTAGTATGTAATAGTCTTTCTCCTCCTTTCCAGGATGGCAGCACGGCCTTCAAAATCGCCTGGCAGGCCGGACATCGCGACGTGGGACTGCTGCTCTACGTGCACGAGCAGATGCTGCGCAGCAAGCTGCCCAATCGTGGGGAGCCTATACGAAAGTCCCTGCCCCTGCCCGCACGCCCCAAGCCACCAAAGTGAAGCGGAAGCGGAAGTTCGGGGAGAAGTTGCAGCTGCCGGGCAGCCATTTTGTATTAGCGGCCAAAATGTCGAACAAACATTAGTGGTAAGATTTGAATTAGCATTTCGTAGCGCTGTCTAGGGAAAACAGCTTAAGCATTCCATATCAGTCCAGCTAAACTATAAAAAAACAATTGTTAATAATTTAGCTAATAGTTAACACAGAAAACAGAAGGCACAAGCAGTTTTTAAATATTATTTTCAAATTGTATTTAATTGAATCTCTATTTAATTTTAAAGTCTAAAGAAATCACAACTTAACAATTAACCTGTGCAAAAATTATGAGTAATGCTTAGTTTTGTAATTATGCTACTAAAATCCAATGGAAAACTGACAAAACTTACATTTAATTAATAATAACATACATATTTCTTTAAGCCCGTAAGAAATTATTAACAGTACATAATAAACAAATACTGCACTAGCCTGTGCTACCCGAGTAGCAGCCATATAGCAACCATATCAGCAAACGACAATGCAAAAAACGACAAAATATTAAAAGTAAACAAAAATAATAATACAAATGTAAAGCGATTAATTAATGTGTAATTAAATTATTTTTGCAGAGCTACTTACAATTAAAGAAAATGGTTGATAAACAAAATATTTCAATAAGCACTTTTATTACATTGAAAACAATTTGCGGGACTTCCGGCTACTCAAGCGTAGTACGAATCAAAGTAGACGTATATGTATATCCAAACTTAAGGCGGCATATTGTATTTAATATTATATATGTATTCATTTTACTATAAACTATTTTAGAGCATTTTAAATAAATAAAATTTATGTTCAAGTTGTTTACGCTTAATTATTTTAGTTTGTCTCTAAGTTTGTCATAAAGTATTAACAAAATTATTATTTGATTTTATTTGTCAGGTTTTTATCACTATTTATTTGAATTTTGTTACTTAGTTTTCATTGTGTTTATGATTTTTTAAAAATTACTTTTAGTATATATTTTTTTGTTTATTAATTTGAGTTTTTACTCTTAAGTACTTACAAGTTTTAATATTATTTCTTTTTTCCTCTTGTTCTGTTTTATTTTTTTTTATGTGTAAATATTATTTTAACTTTTTATTGCTTTCAAGGAATTCCTGAGCTTCCACATTTGCAAGTTATTATTTTTGCTCAAATTAAAGCTTAATTTTTAAAGGTATTTAAATTCATCTAAAAACTTAAACACATTATAAATTCCATATTCGTGCACTGTGATTAGGAGGTTTCGCCGCAGTTAGACGGCACGCTCCTCTAGGCCCGGCTCGACTACGCCCAGAGGAGTCAGCTGCAGCGCGATGCCATCATCCAGACTGACCAGCGGTCGCTTGGAGTTCAATGTGAACTCGAACTCCAGCAGAAGCAGCGCCAGTGCGAGGCGCAGTTGGAGCTGGGCAAATTGCATGCCAATGCAATTGCGGACGCCGGAGCCAAAGCCAAACCATGTGCTTTGCTCCTTGAATGAGTCCCTGGGACTGCCCCAGCGTTCGGGCTTAAAGCGCTCCGGCTCGGGATAATACTCGGGATCATTGTGTATGGCATGAGTTGGTATAATCACAAACAGCTCCTTGACCAGCGTGTACTTCAGGTGCTCCGGCACCGTGTAGTCATTGAGGACGCGGCGCATTATGTAGGGTGTGATGGGATGCATGCGCAGGGTTTCCAGGATGACATGGCCCATGAGTGTGAGCGATTGCACACATTCGTAGCTCAGGTTATTCTGATGTTTTGCCATGGTCTGCTTCAGCTCCTGGCGCACCTGGCACTGCACCTCAGTGTTCAGGGCCAGCTCATATAGCACAAAGGACAAGGTGTTGGCGGTCTGCTCGTAGCCCGCCTTGAGGAAGACAAACGCGTGAGCTGCCAATTCGTGTTGCAAATGCGCCTTTAGCTCCTTGTCAGCCTCGTACTCGTGCGTGGTCAGCTCGAGGGCTTTGATGTCCAGCAGCAGCTGCAGATAGTCCTGAGTACGTACATCCGATGCCTCTCGCTGCCCTACAATGTCTTCGAGTAGGGTCAGGAAGTAGACTTCGGCCTGCTTGGGTGTCAGGCGCATGCGCAGCCTGCGGCAGAAGTTGGGAAAGCGTATCATCAGCAGATTCATCAGATAGCCATGCTTACGGGTGCTCAGCGCCAGCTCCGTCATCTGCTCAAACTCATCCAATGGGTATTTTTGGCGCTGCTCGGCGTTCAGGCCAAACACACAGCTGGCCAGGGCGGACAGCACATAGCGTCGCATTAGCTTCTGTATGTGGAGCGTGGAGTGGGGCTGCTTCATCAGCGTGGTGCTCACAATCAGCAGCAGTTGCTCGGCCTCCTCGTACAGGCTGCCATAAAGCCATTCTATGCGTTCTCCCTCGAACGTCGGATCCAGTTTTTGTCGCATCTCCTTCCATCTATTGCCACGCAGTCCATACAGATCGCCCGACAGCGGATCCGATTTCTGATTGCAGTAAATTCCGCGATCGTTGAAATTCGCGAAATCTTTGATCATTATCTGGCGTATCAGTTCACGGTCGAGCACCAGAGCGCGTGGCTGCAGCAGCGCATAGAAGCCGCAGTAGGGTCCGCTGCCCTTGAACTTGTTGTAGAGGGTCGTGTAGTGGGCGGCCTTCATGGCCTCGGTGCTGAGAGACTGGGTGATGAGCTGCTTAACGATGGGCCATAGCTTCTTGGGCCTCTCGTGCGGTATGTCCAAATAGCGCCAATAATCGCGCTGATAACGCGCGGCCATGAACAGCAGCACCAGCAGGCAGAGCACGATTAGGCCCAATATCATAAATATTATCCACATGCCTTTCATGTTGATTTGTTTTAAATTGTACTATAATTGAAAATACAAACTCACACACAGATAGAGACAGACACACGCGAAATCACAGTGTCACACACAGTTTTGGCCAGTGACTCTTTGTGGCCGGAAACCGAATCCGTCAGTGATCTAATGCGAAACGCGGACGCGTTCTCAGCGACAAGTTGAATCTGTTACTTTCATGACCAAACCGCGCTGTTCGACTGAGTGCAATTGAGTAAAACATATTTACGATACGCTCCGCGCCATTGGGAGCTTTTCATTTAGGTGGCGGGAGGGGGGTACCTGGAGTACGCTACACTACAGTTATTGCTGCTTATGGCTTTAACACGCTCCGAGTGGGCGTCCGAGTGAGGCCAACAAAGCAGACTCGCAGCTCAATGTGACTAAGTCTCTGCGTGGGACGAATCAATGATCTGTGAGCACAAAGAATCTAGTCGGAGCGATCAATTGAAGTTGTTTACACTCTCTTACAAGAGAATTTCTCTTGTTCTAGGACTACATCTTAGTCATAAGCATCTGCTACTCAGCGTATATTGTAACTTGTATTATATAAGAACTCAATATGCTGCTCAAAATAATACAAATAATTTAAAAAAAAAACTCGTTGTAGCGCATTTGTTAGTTCCGCATGACTGACCACTGTAAATTATCTACGTAGCAATACACTTTTAAGTTCATTTTCGTTTGTTATCAGTTTTTTTTCATTTTTGGTTCTTATAGATAAAAGAGCAGTTGTTCGCTTTGAAATTCCTATGGTATTCCCGTTGAGGTGGGGTTAGCACTTTTAAAACTGGCCCATAAACTAATTGCACTGAGCCAAAAAGTTGTGTGTTCAATGAGCAAAAGCAAATAAATGTTAAATACTCCCTTATCGTATTGGCCAGTCAGTCATTAGCTGGCCAGGGCTGTGACTAGTATGTATAACCCCTCTTACTAGCAGATATAAAAATTGAGGAACCAGCCAATTTTAAGCATTCATATTTTTAAAATTACATTCAATTTGAAGTCATGTGAGCGGCTTTATTCGAGCACAGTTCAAAAATACTCGCAGCTTTTGCTCTCAATGTACTTGTTTAGTTGACCTGTTGAATTTAACGTCCAATTAGCGCGTAAATGCTACAACAACAAGAGTCAGTAAGAGTACACTAGACGTGAGTGACCGACTAGGGGATACCCTGTAAGCAGTGGATGTAGCCTCACTCTATAAAAAATCCACCTGCGGCGTTTGTAGTCCTATCTTAATGATATGCATGCCTTAAATGGTACTAAAATCCCAGGGTCATACTTTAAACGAATATTTGCAATTTTTGGGTGGAGCGGGGAAAGGTATTTAATCTGTTATCGGTGTATACTATTAGAGAACCAAACATAGTCCTTGGCTCCTGTTAACTTCTGTTTAAAATTACCTCTTTTAAAAACCGACGTCTATCGATAATTTGGAAATAGGCAGAGATATCGAAAACTAACTCGATCTACTTGTGACATACCAGAATATAAGTTTAGATATTTGAATCTCTAGCTTATATAGAGGTCAACGCACTCATTTATATCAACTCAACTCGCAGTCTTGATTTTTTATTATACCTGTTGCGTACCCCTGCAGATAACTTAAATGTCCCTTTTTTCCATTTGGTTTGCGTACAGGGTATTTAAACAAATATATAACAACAAAAAACAAAGAAAGCTGTTCAATTGCTGTTTGCTTATATTGTAGTTATTGTTTCTACCAATACCCGCACTTGAAATCTAATTAAAAGTTAAACTAAAATGCGACAGAAAGCAAACAGTAGCGTTGCCGGACCACCGGTAAGTAAATATGACGATTTTCAACACACCTCAATTGAAACATATCTTTGTGAGTGAAAAAGCTTCGGCTTAAATAACAACATTATCGCAGACGTTGTCAGTGTCTTCGCGGGACAGAATAGCTTAGCTCCAGACAGAATAAATAGAAGATGTCTAGTCGAGTGTGCTCAAAGTCAAGATACCCTGTTACCCACATTCAATTATTAATTTGGTTTAAAGTACTGCGTTTTGAATTCTTCAAATCATTTAATATGGCCCAGTCTGAGGACATAAATAGCGTTCTACAATGCGTATATACCACATCACAATGCTCTAGTTTTGTTTTGTGAAATATTTTCACTTAGGGGAAGTAGGGCAGATATCCTACAAGTGTAATGTTCGTTATCTTCATTTTATAGGAAAGCCTACATACCATTTTTTTATGGTGTATATAGCTCTTATATTTATGGAGGTATTCCTCAATAGCCAAGTCTTAAAATCGTAAGTATGACAAAATAATAAACTGTTACAAAATCAATATATAATCTTTTTTATTCATTTTCAATGGGTCCAGGGTATAACAAGCGCTAACTAGAATAGTTTGCATTTTGAGTCCATTGGCGACTGTGACTGGAATTATTTTCGGCAATATGCTTTATTTAATCTGTTTATTTCTGTAGATCATTTTTCGGATGGAGTCTTCTCAGTTTTATTGCATTTAGAGCTTTCCAAAGCTTTGAAAAATAATATACAGATATACTAACATACTCACATTTAAAAAGTTTTGCTTGTCTGTGAATGGTTAAAATTTACCTTCCTTACGGAATCGTCACCCAATGAGCCAAATTATTTCAAAGCCTTTTAGATGTGATCGTTAATTTTGCCAAGCGACTGCGGAAATGAACGCAAGGAACTGAGATACATATATATTAATTGTAATATTTTTCACAATGACACAGGGGTTGGTCCTATCTCTGATACTATTAGTTTATTATTATCAGCAACCATGGAGTATATGAAATATTGTTCTATATAATATCAAGAATAAAGGATACACAAATATTTTAATAGTATTGCCGGGTATTCTTAAGGTCATCATTCTGTAGTCTTCGTCACCTTTACTCGAATGTAACAATTTGCGTTTCAGAGTTGGCTAAGTACTAAGTTTTAGCAAGTAAGAGGTTCTAGTCGGGAGCTCCCGACTACCCTGAACCCTCTTCTTCCAACAGGCGATAGGTAAAAATGAAAGATACTTGATATATATAAACTATTCTAGAAGCTACATGTCAAGTTTGGTAACTCTAGCTCATATTATTAGCCGAAATTGCACAAAAAACAGGATTTCGATATCGATTTGAATCGATTACTTGGAAACGGGGCAAGTTATCGAATATCGGAAACAAACTCGATCAGCGCGGGGACTAGGAGGGCCTACAGCTAAAATTTCAGTCTCTAGCTCTTATAGGTTCTGAGATCCTTGCGTTCATACATACGGACGGACGAACTGACGGACAGACGGACGGACGGACGGACAGACAGACGGATATGGCTAGATCGACTCGGCTATTGATGCTGATCAAGAATATATATACTTTATGGGGTCGGAGATGCTTCCTTCTGCCTGTTACATACATTTGCACAAATACATAATACCCATTTTTACCCATTTTCAATGGGTTCAGGGTTATACCCTCTTCTAAAATGTATGATTGATACAGCCCCATCGATTGTCGATATTCCGGAATTGTTAAAAGTACTGTCCTTAAGACAATGCTAATTCAACGGAATTGGAGGCCTTCTGATAATTATTCATTATTTAGTATGAATAAATTATTATTATTATTTATTTTATATTATGTAACATAAATAAATCATACTTATAATTATTATCAATAATAATATATAGTGATAATTTATTAATATTAATAGTATTAATTATAATTAAATCAAAACTGTTCGATGAAAACTTAGTTTAATTGATTTCATACTTTAAACCATAATTTTATGCTACCCACTTTTCTGCTTAAGCTAGTTTGATTAATCCCATTGGTGGAAATTCCTATTCCCACTAATATCAACCTCATATGTTATAATAAGTTTATCCCGACTGACTGATTGATTGGTGATCTACGCATAGACCAAACTGTGAGACTTGGGAAGCTTAAAGTAGTATTGTAGTTACCTAAAGTGTTAAGGTGCACGCAAAGACAGGATTTCGACAAATTTCACCGCCAAGTGTGGAAAAAGCGCGAAAATCTCTTGTTTGACACTTTTTTTGCTTACCATCCGATCGCTGTCAAACTCTTTTTCAAGCTCTTTGCTCAAATTAGTTTGGAAGGGGATTCAAAATGTTTACAAAATCCACCCCTCTTTGGCTTAAAGGGGGGTCATAGACTTGCTGATATTAGTTTCGGGCTAAAAACTATTTTGAAGGATCTTTATGAATATTTATTGAGGACGTGATGAGTAAACCTTCCTCCCGGCAAGTGCTATATGAACTCTAGATTGCGTTGCAGACTTCAAAATATATTTAAGTGGCTAGCGACAAAAGTCTGCAAAAGCTCAAAAAATTCAATCGATAAGGGGCATGAGCATATTTTAACAATACCAAGAGTGGAAAATAGCCAACAAATTAACCAGAGAGTGGGTCCGTTAAAGCTCAACTGTCATTTCGGCTTTATAAGGCACGCACCGCCGAAGTGGCTCTTAGTGTTCCGCTGAAGTTTGTTTAAATCGCAAGACTTGTTACTTTCACTTGCTTTAGCATAAGTTATTTCTGATTACCATGGGCATCGGCAGTTTATTATTAACGGCGGTGATAGCCCTGCTAGGCTATCTTTTCTTGCGAATGCGTCGAAATTTGCAGCATTGGCAAAACTTGGGCATTCTATGCGATGAGCCCAATATTCTGATGGGCAACCTTACGGGCGTCCGCACTAAGCGAGCATTTCCAGATATTTGGGTTGATTATTATAACAAGTTCAGAGGAACGGGACCATTTGCCGGATTCTACTGGTTCCAACGTCCAGCCGCATTCATCTTGGAGCCTTTCTTGGTAAAGCATATCCTGATCAAGGATTTCAACAAGTTCACGGATAGAGGTTTCTTTCACAACCCCGAGGATGATCCGCTGTCTGGTCAGCTCTTCTTGCTCGATGGCCACAAGTGGAGATCTATGAGAAATAAGCTATCTTCAACCTTCACGTCCGGCAAAATGAAGTTCATGTTTCCTACGATTGTAAAAATTGGTCGCGAGTTCGTAGACGTCTTCGGAGATATGACAGCCAAGTCTTCCATTATTGAGGTTAAGGAACTTATGGCTCGATTCACCACAGATGTTATCGGCACTTGCGCATTTGGCATTGAGTGCAGCAGTCTCAAGGATCCGGATGCGGAATTCCGTGTCATGGGTCGTAAGGCTTTAACCGATCAACGCCATGGGGCCTTAGGAATGGCTTTTCTCAACAGTTTTCCCAACTTTTCAAGACGCATTCATTTGAAGATGACTCCAGAGCACATTGAAAAGTTCTTTATGCGCATTGTAAGAGAAACTATTGCCTACAGAGAGGAAAACAATGTTCGACGAAACGATTTCATGGATCAATTGATTGACTTGAAAAACAATCAATTGATGAAGTCCGAGACGGGCGAGAGCATGAGTCTTACGATTGAAGAAATCGCTGCCCAGGCTTTCGTCTTCTTCGCCGCTGGATTTGAAACCTCTTCCACCACCTTGGGATTTGCTCTATTTGAATTGGCTCAAAACGAGGACATACAAAAGCGGTTGCGGGAGGATTGCAATGAGGTACTAGCTAGGTACAATGGAGAGCTAACTTATGAATGTATCAAGGAAATGGAGTATTTGAACCAGGTCATATCGGGTAAGCGATCCAATAAACCATTTAATACTCTTAACATTGACTAGTTATTTATTCCCAGAAACCCTGCGGCTATACACGGTTCTTCCAGTCCTTAACCGCGAATGCCTAGAGGACTTTGCCGTGCCTGGATATCCGAACTATGTGATCAAGAAGGGAATGCCAGTGCTGATACCTTGCGGCGCTATGCACCGTGATGAAAGGTTCTATCCTGAACCAAATCGATTTAATCCAGATAATTTTAAGGCCGAACGAGTTAAGAACCGGGACTCGGTGGAATGGCTCCCCTTCGGTGATGGGCCGCGTAATTGCATTGGAATGAGATTTGGCGAAATGCAGGCACGCATTGGTCTTGCCATGCTTATCAAAAACTTTAAATTTTCGGTGTGCGATAAGACAATTATACCCATTAAAAATCACAAGGAGAGCTTCTTGATAGCCAGTGAGTCAGGAATATACCTAAAGGTAGAGCGAGTTTAAGAACTCACATGATAACATATCATAGTTCTTATCAAATGTACATTTGATTGATGCAAAGGACCCGATATGAGATTAGAATTATTCGTGTGCTGTCCTGGAATTTTAATAGAACTAGGTATTTGGTCAAGTTCATAGCTCAAAATAAAATACACTGCTTGATTTTAACTGGAAACTACGTGGCTTATTTACATAAATCTTATTTATTTTTTTTTACTTTTATTTTTTTATCCAGGTTCTATTGCTTTAATATTATTGTTATTAATATTTAATATGACAATTGTTGCTGGATCCCGAACTGGCGATCTCTCGCTAATTTGTCCGAAGTTTTGACACTTAAGCCACTCAGGCTCACGCTGCCACGTTTACAAAGCACAGTTATATGGCTATATTGTTTTTCACCTTGAGAGTGAGAGAAAGAGAAACAAAAAGAGAGAGAGTGCAAGAGAGACTTAATACAGGCAGCCATACAGTGGACATACATACATATAAATCTAAACTGGGTACAGGATAACTCCTAGTGAGGAGGACAGTTGAGTTGTTCGCTTACAAACTTATTTATAATTATAATTTAATCAACCTAGTTATTATTTATACCAGGTATATTAAAAATTAAGAAAAATGCGATAGTCAATGGGTGAAACTCGAACCATGATCGAAATGCAATTTTTTGTTTAGCCGGCGTCTTAACTATTTAATATATTTATATATTAAAGAGAAAAATGTCATCAGAATAATTTGGTTAAATAATTTAATTCGCATATAGAATTTAATACCACAAAATATATATTTCATAATACTGAAGAACTTGTTTTGATAGAGTACAACTGTCACAGCTAACTACCCACTTCCAAAAAGCTCTTATCTGGCACTCACGAAGGAAATTGTTTATTTTTTTCGCGGCACAGCGCTTCAGAGAACATCTATAGTCATACTGACTGCGAAAGCTTCGACTGGGCATTAAATAGCCAGACCCGATCAAAGTGGCGCTCAGTACTCTGCCAAAGTTCACTTACATCGCGGCCGTGTATCTCTATCTGAATCATAGAAATAGTTGCTGGTCGCCATGGGAGTCGGCACCTTATTGCTCACTGCGGTGCTAGCCCTGATAGGCTATCTCTTTTTGAGATTGCGTCGTAATATGCAGCATTGGCAAAACTTGGGCATTCCATGCGAGGAGCCCAATATTCTTATGGGCAACCTTACGGGCGTCCGCACTAAGCGAGCATTTCCAGAAATTTGGATTCATTATTATAACAAGTTCAGAGGAACGGGACCATTTGCCGGTTTCTACTGGTTCCAACGTCCAGCCGCATTCATCTTGGAGCCTTTCTTGGTAAAGCATATCCTGATCAAGGATTTCAACAAGTTCACGGATAGAGGTTTCTTTCACAACCCCGAGGATGATCCGCTGTCTGGTCAGCTCTTCTTGCTCGATGGCCACAAGTGGAGATCTATGAGAAATAAGCTATCTTCAACCTTCACGTCCGGCAAAATGAAGTTCATGTTTCCTACGATTGTAAAAATTGGTCGCGAGTTCGTAGACGTCTTCGGAGATATGACAGCCAAGTCTTCCATTATTGAGGTTAAGGAACTTATGGCTCGATTCACCACAGATGTTATCGGCACTTGCGCATTTGGCATTGAGTGCAGTAGTCTCAAGGATCCGGATGCGGAATTCCGTGTCATGGGTCGTAAGGCTTTAACCGATCATCGTCATGGGCCCTTGGGAATTGCTTTTCTCAACAGTTTTCCCAACTTTTCAAGACGCATTCATTTGAAGATGACACCAGAGAAAATTGAAAAGTTCTTTATGCGCATTGTAAGAGAAACTATTGCCTACAGAGAGGAAAACAATGTTCGACGAAACGATTTCATGGATCAATTGATTGACTTGAAAAACAATCAATTGATGAAGTCCGAGACGGGCGAGAGCATGAGTCTTACGATTGAAGAAATCGCTGCCCAGGCTTTCGTCTTCTTCGCCGCTGGATTTGAAACATCTTCTACCACCTTGGGATTTGCTCTATTTGAATTGGCTCAAAACGAGGACATACAAAAGCGGTTGCGGGAGGATTGCAATGAGGTACTAGCTAGGTACAATGGAGAGCTAACTTATGAATGTATCAAGGAAATGGAGTATTTGAACCAGGTCATATCGGGTAAGCGATCCAATAAACCATTTAATACTCTTAACATTGACTAGTTATTTATTCCCAGAAACCCTGCGGCTATACACGGTTCTTCCAGTCCTTAACCGCGAATGCCTAGAGGACTTTGCCGTGCCTGGATATCCGAACTATGTGATCAAGAAGGGAATGCCAGTGCTGATACCTTGTGGCGCTATGCACCGTGATGAAAGGTTCTATCCAGAACCAAATCGATTTAATCCAGATAATTTTAAGGCCGAACGAGTTAAGAACCGGGACTCGGTGGAATGGCTTCCCTTTGGAGATGGACCGCGTAATTGCATTGGAATGAGATTTGGCGAAATGCAGGTTCGCGTTGGTCTTGCCATGCTTATCAAAAACTTTAAGTTTTCGGTGTGCGATAAGACAATTATACCCATTAAAAATCACAAGGAGAGCTTCTTGATAGCTAGCGAGTCTGGAATTTACCTGAAGGTAGAGCGTGTTAAAGCCTAGTTTAAAGAAACACACTTTAAACACAATATTAATATTTATTCTTTTGCTTTGTGTAAATACGTAATTATATTGTGCGTACGGGAAAAGACACACATCATTTGTGAGATTATTTGGAAATGGTTGAATTTTAAACAGATCAAATTGTAATTCTAATTTAAATTGTATTTGTAAAATTTTTCAAGTTTATGTAATTTTTTTATAAGCATAATTTTTATTGTATAATCACAAATTATTTGTTATTACAGAGCCAGTGGGCTTTGCGTATCTAAAGTTCACTCATGCACTGAATGTGAATGGAGGCATGGGTAAATATTTAATTGTTAAGCTTTCAAAGCTGTTCTCTCTCTCTCCCCCGCCCTCTCTCTCTCTCTCTCTCTCTCTCGCTCTCCCTATCTCTCTCCCTATCTCTCTGGTTGGAATAACAAATAATTAACTTAAACTCGAGAACATTGCGTCACTTTAGCTTGTATATGTGAATTTACTATACATAAACATAAATTGCAAACCAGTTTTGTGCTTGTGTCTCTGCCTTCGTTTTTGGGGCTTGGTTTGTTCTTATCATTGTAAAATATACAATAATACAAATATAAACGAACATTTATTATGAATGAGTAAGAATTGAAAACCGTGCCAATTGTATTAATAGTCACAAAATTAATCTGATAACAAGCTAAATTTAGTCTGCGATATCTATGTATTTAGCTTCTAGCCGAGCGGCTCCACGTGCAGCTGGAAACCTTTTGTGTGTAGTAGAAACGAATGCTTCTCGAATTGCATGGTCTGTGGGGTGGTGGGCGCAAAGGCAAATCGAAAATTACGTATTAATGCAATTAGACCCACGGCCAGCTTGATACGGCCAAAGCGCATGCCAATGCAGATGCGGGGACCCAGACCGAAGGGTAGAAAGGCGCAGCTGGGCCGCTTCTGTATGGCCTCCTCCGTGAAACGTTCGGGCAGAAACTTCTCCGGCTCCGGATAATATTCCGGATCATGATGTATAGAATAGACAGGTATAATCAGATGCGATCCAGCTGGTATGTAATGTTTCGGATGATCTGGCACCTCAAAATGCGCATTGGCACGACGCATGTGCTCTGTGGCGACGGGATACATTCGCAGAGTTTCTGAGAGATAGTTGAATAGGAGAAACAAATATACTTTCTTTTAATCTGGGATCTGTTAGTTCTGTTTACCCGATATGACCTGCTCCAAATACTTCATTTTCTGCATGGCCTCGTAGTTTAGCTCTCCGTTCTCCCCATAGTTCGCGATGACCTCCTCGATCTCCTCTCGGAGCAGGCATTGGATATGTTCGTGACGTGCCAGCTCGTACAAGGCTAGGGTTAGAGCTGTGGATGTTGTCTCAAAGCCCGCCACCAGAAATACGTACATCTGGGCGGCGATCTCATTGACCGTCAGACCCTCGGCTGTGTTGCCCGAATCGTATTTCTGTTTCATTTCCAGCATGATATCAACGAAGTCGTTGCGCCTAATCTTGTGCTGCTCCCTGTAGCTGATGGTGTCTTTGACCAGGCCCAAGTAGAAGGCCTCCACGTCGGCGGGCGTGCGCTTGATGTGCAATCTGAGGCTCAGCTCAGGGAAAAGCAGGCAGAATATGTAATCGATGCGCTTCTTGAGCATCGCGTTCAGGCCCATCTGCACAAAGGGCGCCTTTGGATTGCGCAGACTATTGCACTCCAGCCCGAAAATGGCAGAGCCAATGGTGTCCGCTGTGTAGCAGGCCAGCAGCTTGGTGACCTCCAAGGGAGCAGCCTTTCCCGCGCAACGCTCGTGCAGCACGTGCGACAGCTCCCGAGCTGTTCGTAACACTGATGGAAACATAAGCTTCATCTTGGCACTGCTGAATATGGGCGTCATGCGCGGCCTCAGGCTGTGCCACTTGGGACCATCGATGGCGAAGAGATGCGCGGACAAGGGATCGTCCCGCTCATTGTAAAACAGCCCTCGACTGTCAAAGTTAGCAAAATCTTTGATGAAGACCCGCTTTAGCAGCTCCATATCCGAAATAATATAGGCGGGCGTCATAAGAAAGTAAAATCCAACGAGTGGGCCCAAGTGCTTGTACCTCACATAGAGATTCTGTACTATTTCCGAGGTGTGTCTGGTTACCCGCCAGCCCCACAGATTTCCCACCAGCGGCAGGGGTGCTTCATGCGCAATGCCACGACGTTCAAAGTAGGATAGGCGCTGCCTTATCCATAGATATAATCCGATCAGGACACACGCGAGTAGCGAAGTTGAGGCGAACATGTCAGTTGGCCAAAATATTTTAAACTGGGTGGCAGATAATCAAGCTCTGTGGCATTTATATGCCCTGCTCTGGCCCGTGGTGCAGGTCAGGACCTCTACTTAAAATTTACTTTATTGCAAACATGTTGAAGCGACTCTATTAAAATTTATTAGCAAATGGCACACGAGGCGGCACAGGGTTCATCTAGAGTTCTCTGGTACATAATGTTGTATTACCTGGGACTCGAGTAGCGAGTCTTTACATAAGTATAACTAGTAATGGTAGTAAATGCGTAAGCTTCCAGGCGGAGGTCCACAAAATTGAGTTGAACGACAAAGCTTTGAACCTTCGCTTGGCAATTGTTCTACAACTCAAGCTCGGCATAAGACGGTTTGTGTGTCACGAAAATACATTCATACACAAACACATTTCTTATCTGATTTTTCCTGTAAAGCTGTATTGTATCATGCTACCATATAGTAAAAAGATCTTAATAAGTATTATCACAATTAAACTAATCAATGCTGGGTTTGGTCAAGAATCCTAAAAAAAAATAATAATAATAATAATAACAGAACCAACCGTTATTCAAGCAACTAAATGATATATTTGTCTGTTTTCTTTTTATTATTTTTATTTATTATGAATTATTTAATTTGTTAAATGGCCTTAAATGGACATTAAAAGGTCGCCGTTGCCTTCTGCGCCATTTGTGTGTGTCTTTATTTTATATATTTGTCAGATGTTGATGACATTACGTTTATATGTAAGAAGCATAGGGAAACAAATAATAGCCGGACTTGGTCAAGATGTATTGATAAACAAAAATTTTGATCATCAAATAAATTAATTTTTAATAATTTATATGGCAGCCATGTGATAAATTGGTCCGATATGGCCAGGACAGAAAGACGCGCTACCCTGCATAGAATCAGATAGACGGACATTGCTATATCGGCTCGGCTGTGGATTGATCAATAAAATATATTTCATTTCATTTCATTTCGTTATAAAATTATCATATTCTTTACAATGGTATAAAAATGACTATCAACCAAGAAGTTGAAGACTACAGATGATAAAAATTGATGTGGACATGTAATGACCATAAAAAAACAAATAATAAGTATTATTTTTCAAAATATCAAATAAAACAATAACTTTATTTTTATACTGAAGTTTTGTCCGGAAATTCTTTCTGCTTTTAAATGTTACACAGATCCGATATGGCTGGATCTGTATAAAAACGAAGGATCTAAACTAAGCTTTTATGAAAATAAAATTCTTCTTTTTATACCGCGATTCGATATAATATTATATATATCCCTCAATTCGTTATAAGTCTTGTGGCTAAAATACAATATGGACGTTTTATGTATCGAACATATTATAATTCATATTTATTTTTTTAGTAATAAAGGCAAACATCAAACAAAATCAAAATTAATATATGAACAAATAACTGTTTTTAGTATAATATAAAAACATTAACATACTTTGTATTGAACTATTATAATAAAAATTCATTCAATTTCGGGTGCCGGAATATGTGTTCAACAGATTAGTTTAGATAGGTGTAAAAGCGATTGATTAGCTGCTTAACTTATCAAAGTTAGATTAGATAAGTGTAGTTCAAGTGTTCTTGGGTATACTTCTTATCTGGCTAACTGTTATACATCTGTTTAATTCATGATAGCATAACAATTTTGTGATTACTTGGAAACCCTCTCAACATTTAAATAAATGCCGTTCTCAGAAGTCAAAAGAATGTTCTTGGTGACCAGCTTCATGGGTATCTGGGTCTCGGGCGCCACACTGAACTTGAAGTCCTTGATCAGATGGGCGAGGCCCACACAGGTCTGCATGAGGCCGAAGCGGGAGCCAATGCAATTGCGGGGACCGTCGCCAAAGGGCAGCCAACTGCAGGCTGGTCGAGCCGAAATCTCTGCCTCCGTGAAGCGCTCTGGCTTGAACTTTTCTGGCTCGGGATAGATGTCGGGATCGTAGTGTATGCCGAGGGCGGGTATCACAACGACGCTGCCTTTCTCAATATAGTGTTTCGGATCTCCTGGCGAATAGTCCGAGATGGTCTTGCGTGTCAGATGGGCCAACACGGGATATTTGCGAAGAGTTTCTATATTGAAATGTTGAGTTTAGAATTAGGGAAATGCAGATACAAACAGGCTGTAGAATATGTTACCCATGACAGCCTGCTCCAGATATTCCATTTGCTTAACATTGTCGTAGGAGTATTTATTGTTGTGATTGCCAAGCACCTCGTTTATTTCCGCTCTCAGCTTGTCCTGGATGTCCTGATGCTGGGCCAGTTCGTACAGGGCAAAGCCCATGGTTGTGGAGCTGGTCTCAAAGCCGGCCACAAAGAATATAAACGCCTGGGCAGCCAACTCCTGGAAGGTCAGACCCTCCTCGGTGTTGCCCTCCTGCTGCTTCTTATACATTTCGATGAGCATGTCCATGAAATCGCCGCGGTTCTCATTGCTCTTGAGGCGGTAGTCGATGGTATCGCGAACGATGCGCAGGTAGAATTCCTCAACCTCTTCAGTTGTCATCTTCAGACGCAGGCGACGCGACAGCTTGGGAAAGCCGAAAAGGAAGAAATCAAGAAGGCCACGATAGCGTCGCTCCGTAACCGCTCGCTTGCCCATGCTGACAAATTCCGCATCCGGATTGCGCTGACTATTGCAGTCGAGCCCAAAGGCGACGGTGCCAATCACGTCGGCCGTATAGCGACCCACCAAATCGGTAATCTCCAACACCTGTGGCGCAGACACCTTCTCCTTAAACACCTTGGCCATTTCCTCAGCCACTTGCAAAACGATGGGCAGCATGTTCTTCATCTTGCCCGATGTGAAGGTGGGCGTCAGCTTGTGCCGTAGCTGCCGCCACTTCTGACCCTCAATGCTGAACAGGGTGGCCGACAGGGGATCATCAATTTCATTGTAGAATATGCCACGACTCTCAAAGTTATTGAAATCCTTTATCAGGACGCGTTTCACCAGCTCCATGTCGGTGACCACAACGGTCTTGGTGAAAAAGAAATAGAAGCCCGCGAAGGGGCTATTTGCATTCTTGTACTTCAGATAGTAATCCCTGAAGATAACGCCTATTTGCCGCTTGGACGGCCAGTCGCCCATGTTGCCCTTCGGGAACATGGGCACATCGTGTGGAATCCCACGCCGATTCCAATAGTTGTGCCTATGCCGTACGGCATAAAACAGCAGCGATATTATAATACCGACCAGCGCTAGAATAATCGACATTTTACACGCCGTTTCAAACTGAGCTAACGATACGCCCAACACACGCTATATATAGTCCAAAGCTCGCTCTCGCAGAGCTTTCCGCTAAATGTGGGGTTTTAGCAGAATGACAGAGAGAGGCCTCTCTTCATAAACCTAGATATGTTTATTATGATAGTAGATATATAACGAATAAAGATCAATTTTCTTATGTTTTCATTATTCGCATTAATTGGTGAGCTTATCGGTCATAGTTATTTAAATTGTTTCAATTTTGGCTTCATACTATCTAATCTAAATCTCATTCCAAAGTATCATATGCCGCAATGTTGCACCGAACAACGAAATGGTTGTTCCCAGGTGGTTATCGTACTAGTTATATATGGAATGCCACTTCTATTGCTTAGTCATTGAGCTACCCAAAATAGTAATCGGAATTCCGCAAACCCACTTATATTAACAAAGGCAAACACATGAAGCTTAAAAAACTTATTATATGTTTTTAATTAATTAATTTTAGTTTTATTAATTTTATGTCGAACAAAATGTTATGAACCCTAGTTACAAAAATGGGCTTAAATCGGGCAGTAGTCCATATAATTGTAGATATGTAAGTACGATAACTTATTTATAAATATATGCCTCTTATTATTATCAACTAAATTATTTATATAAGCACATAAGATTGGATAATGTCAATTTGATAAATGTGATTGTATTATTATTTCTTTAGCTCTTCAACCTTCAAATAGATGCCATTGGCTGGACATAGCAATATGTTGGAATTGACAAAATCAATTTTGGACACGGTCCGCGGACAGACACTGAACTGAAAGCGCTTTAGCAGATAAAAGAGGGCAACGCTCGTCTGCATCTTGCCGAAGCGCATGCCGATGCAGTTGCGGGGTCCGTCGCCAAAGGGCAGCCAGGAGGCGGTGTGTCGCTGTGCCATCTGGTCGGCTAGAAAACGCTCCGGAATAAACTTGTGAGGCTCCGGATATAGCTCTGGGTCGTGATGTATGCCATAGACTGGTACGAAAACCATCTGGCCAGGCTCGATGTAGAAGTGTTTATTGCCCTTGGCCGCATAAAAGTTGCGAGAGACACGCGACAGATGAGGTAATACGGGATACTTGCGAAGCGTCTCTAAAAATTTTAGTTAAGGCTCAATTAATGTCTGATTAAGATAAGAATTATAAAAATGTTGGCCATATATCATATATGCCTAATTATAATTATGTATAGTGGAAAATATTATAAATATATATCTCATACAAAGTGCAGACAAAGTTTATATATAGCCCTTCTATGCGATTCTCAGGAATTCAAGTAACAATTCCAGATTTTAATGCTTTGACTATGAGTATTATATTAACAAGTAGTGTTTGTAATCTAACAAAGTGAATCTCTGTTCATGCTCTTACTATCTCTCTATCTTTCTGTTGTCTTTCTGCTTATATATGTTTATATACAAGTCTGCCTCCGTACTACTTAAAGATGGTAAATCGAATATTCGGTAGTTCAAAAAATTAAGAATATCTCCTTATATATGTTTCCTACTAAAAATAAAAAAAAAATTAAGCATATTAGCTGTTACTTGGAAGTGAATAACCGGTATTGACTAGCCACGTATTAAAAGAATATATAAGTTATAAAAGTTATAACATAATAAAATATAATTATGATCATTATCAGGCATATATATATGTATATAAATATATATATGTATATTCACTGATGACTCTATAGGCTAGATTTAAAACTAATGTTTCGTGTTTTAAATTAAACTTTAGCACTTTATAATCTTTTGTTAGGAACTTAATAGTGAACATTGTGAAAAGTTCATCTATAAAAAGTTCTTAGTTGGCGGTGCGCGAAATATATGAATACCTCCTACTTATTGTTAGTACACTGACCTGCTATCACCAGCTCCATGTAGCGCAGCTCCTGCATGCACTCGTACGTAAATTGTCCTCCATGCGCCTGTAGCGCCTGCTCAATGTCCTGTCTAAGCTTAAGCTGGAGCTGTGGCTGCTTGGCCAGTTCGTAGAGAGCGAATCCCAAGGTCGAGGCTGAGGTATCGAAGCCGGCGACAAAGAATATGAACGACTGTGCGGCCATTTCGGGCAGCGTTAGCTCCCCGCGCTGCTTCATCTCGATGAGCAGATTAATGAAATCGTTACGCACAATACCCTTAGACTCGCGCTCCTTGACCGTATCCCTCACGATGCGCATGTAAAAGTCCGTAATGTCCTGGTGTATCTGGCATAGGCGCAGACGGCGTGCCAGACTCGGAAAGCTCTCAATGAAGCCATCGATAAGTTTGTTGTGGCGTCGCTCTATGAAGGCGCGTCGCCCCATTACGGCGAACTCGGCCTCCGGATTACGCAGTCCATTGCAGTCCAAGCCAAAAACACAGCTCCCAATCACATCCGAGGTGTATCTGGCCATCAGATCGTTTATCTCCAGAATGCCACAAATGGAATTCTGCGCCTGTTCAGCGCAGACCTGAGCTAGCTCCTCGCCCACGGCGCACACCGTGGGGAACATGAACTTCATCTTGCCGGAGCTAAAGGTGGACGTCATCTTCTGGCGCAGCGGTCGCCACTTGGGTCCATCTATTCGAAACAGGTGGCCTGTGAGTGGATCATCGCGTTCATTGTGGTACAAGCCGCGATCCTCAAAGTTGGCAAAGTCCCTGATGAGCACTTCCTTGGCCAGGTCCAGGTCCAGCACCAACACCACCGGTCGCAGCATAAAGTAGAAGCCCGCAAAGGGCGCCCCGGTGGGCTTGAAGCTCTCGTAAAGTGGCGTCAGAATGTCCTTGAAGTGCTTGTCCTTCCGAAAACCCTGCAGGTTGCCCATGGGAAAAGTGGGTCGCGCATGGCTGATGCTCCGTCGCGCCCAGTAGCTGAGTCTCGTGCGCACAAACCAGAACCCGACGGCCAGTGTAATTAAGAGCAGCGCAATTACATCCAGCATTTCGCGCGTTTCACTTTCAACTGATCTGCGCCGACTGAGTCTGTGGAGCGGTTCTTAATCAGCTGCGGTTCAAAGTGCATTTCAATGTAAACAACTCGTCAAGATAGCTTCGTTTAATTGGTGAACTGACGGACTATGTGATCAACTATGTGATGGCAATTCGCATGTTCTCAGTGTTTCCAGTGGCGCGTGCTTTCTGTATGTCTCACATTATGTGAGTGCGCGAGAGAAACAGCGAGAGAGAGAGAGAGAGACACAAGCCCTGAACTTGAATAATGACTTTGTGATAACGGCATTGCACAAAAGGCAGGTGGCGATAAGGCTAATGCCATGCATTATAGTTACCGTTGTATTTTGCATTTTTAAAGCTTACTTTCTAATGCTTGGCTATTTTTCTTTAAATTCATTCGTTTTTTTTAGGAGCATGTGTGTACATACTATGTATAAATAATTAGAAATGCTCTGGTAAAGGGTGTTAAGCTAGATACCCTATAACCACATTCAGTTTTCCTTCTTATATGGCATTTTACTAATATATAGGATTTTTATGTTTTTTTATTAGTTAGAGGTTGATTCTCAAAATTTGATGTATTTGATAAATATTTTAATACAACCAATATCGGGGGAAAAAACGTAATACCTTACTCAACTTTTAAATAATATGTGTTATCACTGATAACTTATCATATACTTAAATTATAGAAAATTTATTTATCGGATTAATGGGGTAAGCAAAACAACAAAACATGATTTTAAAATATAGTCAATTAAGAATACTTTTGTTTTAATTTATTTGCGATTTAAGTAAATTGTCATTGTGTAGATTTTCCAATGTGTGACAATATTTTTGAGGGTGCTTAAACATTATCATTCATATAGGATCGACAAGTTGTACCAAACGAAATTGAATATTATTAATATATAGTATATAAAAATATCTCAATAATTTTACAACAACAAAAGCACATTCGCCAAATATCGCAGCGAAATATAAAATAAGAGAATTATATACTATAATATAATGAACAGGGTATGCCACCATCGAATACATTCCTTTAACACACGTAGACAACTGTTAAAATTCATAAAAGCACATTCGCCAAATATATTTCAATTAAAAGGGTAAGGTACAGGGTATCCTAACGTCGAATACATTTCTTTAATACATGTAAACAACTGTTGTTTACATTTGATTTGTTCTCAGCAAATAGTAGAGAGCGCGGCCTGAACAATAATGAAGAGAGGGAATAGGAATTTGAGCTTCCAGCCGTCTAGCTTTTAAAAAGCTTTCGCTTATCGAATTTATTTAAAGTGCGTAGTATATTTTTGGTTTCGCATGAAATATTTCATTGTGACAATTGATTTGTTTATCTTGCGAGTGATGACAATCTGTGGACCTGACCTAAAGCAACATTTAAAAGGTTAACATTTAAACGGAAACATACTTTATGGTGAGTCGACATCAAGTCGCTCCATTTGGAGGTGAATTCCAGACTCCGTAGCGATAAGAAAATTTTTTTTGCTAAATTTCAGAGGAATCTGAGTTCTCTGAGTGCTCCGAAACTGATAATGGCGCAAGAGTGTTACAATGCCAATCTTCACCTGCATCAGGCCAAATCTCTCACCTATGCAGGCCCGGGGTCCATTCCCGAACGGCAGATAGGCGAATTGATGACGCGAGAGGATCGCTTCGGGCTCGAAGCGTGAGGGATCAAAGCTTTCGGGATCGGGATAAATATCTGGATCGTGGTGAATACTATGCACGGGTATCATAACCCGCGTGCCTGGCTCCAGCACGAGGCTGCTCTCCGGCACGTTGTATGCATTGGTTGTGCGGCGCACCAGATGCGGCAGCACGGGATATTTACGCAGAGTTTCTGCCACCACCTGGTTGAGGTAGGTCATCTCCTGCAGGCACTCGTAGCTTAGCTGTTGCTTGTGACGCTTCAAGGTGCCTTGTATTTCCTGGCGCAGCTGCTGTTGCACAGCAGGATTGAGCGCTAGCTCGTACAGGCAAAAAGACATAGTCGTGGAGGAGGTGTCAAAGCCGGCCAGAAAGAAGACCAAGGCTTGTGCGGCAATCTGCTCGAAGCTCAGCGCTGCCTCCGTTTCGTCCGTGCGCTCGCCCAGCTCTATGAGCAGCTGGATGAGATCGTTGCGCTTGACGTGCTCGCGTTTTCTGTACTCCATAGTCTGACGCACAGTGTCCATGAAGAACTGACTCACCTCCGGCCGAAAGAGACGCAAGCGCAGTTTCCTTGCCAGCTGCGGCTGAGCAAACATAAAGGCCTGTACCATGCCCTGATGCAGCGGGCGTTCCGTTATCGAGCGACCCATTTCGCGGAATTCCGATCCCGGATTGGCGAGACTGTTGCACTCCAGACCAAAGGCGCAGCTGCCAATGACATCCGTGGTGAAGCGAGCGCACAGATCCTTCGCTTCGAATTCGCCCAGTTGTTGCTCGGCGCTCAGCGCCAGCTGCTCGCCCACTTGGACCATTGTGGGAAACATAAACTTCATCTTACCGGAGCTAAAAACAGGCGTCAGGTGTTGGCGTAGCCAGCGCCACTGCTCGCCATCTAGAAACAGCAAATTTCCAGTGAGTGGATCATCGCGCACATTGTGGAAGAGTCCCCGATCCGCAAAGCTGTTGAAATCGCTGATCATGATCCGCTTAATCAGTTCCAAGTCGAGCACAAAAAACGCCTTGCTAAGGAACGTGTAAAAGCCGCAGAATCGTTCCCGTCCCCTAAACTTGTCATAGATGCGCCAGTTAATGTCCATCCAGTGAACACTTCGCGCAAAGCCGCGCATGTTACCCAACAGGAAAACGGGTCGTTCCCCCGGCACGCCGCGTCGGCGCCAGTACGTGTAGTGCTGATTCAACCAGACATAGATGACGCCACCGGCGCTGACCAGTAATAAAAGAAACGTCAACATGATTCCATCAACGCGTTGCAACTGAGAAGCCAGCCGAACATTTGCAGTGCATAGTGAAAGCTTTTTGCGTACTCTCTCGTCCGCGCTCTCGCTCTCTTTCTTATCGCCAGACAGCTGACAGCTTATATGCATATATATAAACATATGTGTGTGTAATATTTACAGAACAAGGTATGTAATTGTTTTTAAATGATTCTTATTAATATTTTAATTATGATTATGTTATTATTATTATTATTGCTGTTGGTTTAATTATTTATGATGTTGCCAGAAGTTGTATTTCTGGTTTATTAAATTATTAAATTATGTTATTAAAATAATCCAACACAAGAGTGCCTTAGTGGGAATATAGCCCTGCAAAGTGTGTATATACTAAGTGCCATTGAGGAATTAGACCAATAAGATCTCTCTGTACTTATAACATAATGACTCAAGGCCATGGCTAACCATTGTCTGTCTGTCCGTCTGTATTAATCTGGAAAACCTTTCTACTTAATATCTCTGAGATTGTTAATATGTATGTGTATCCTTAATGGGGCCGAAATTCCCCTTCTGCCTGATACATATATATGCACAAAAAAAATATAAATTTTTCCTTATTTACTAGGTTTACTAGGTTAAAACAACAAAAATGTCTGAATTAAGAAGAAGGCTATGTTCGGCACGTCAATATTTAATACCCTTGAATAAATGCGCAGATATGTGAGGAGAATAATGAAGCTCTTAATGGTTTAGCTTGGTGAAAAAATCGTATATATAAATATTTCATCTGAAAATTATATCACACAAAAATTGATTTTTCGATCGATTTAATCTATAAAGTATATAGGTGATAGAATCTTGATAAGATTTGGCTCATAGATAAGGAGCTGATTAAAACTAATAAGCGTCGGGTTTGTTAAACATTTTCTTGAAAAACAAACAACATTTCATACAAGAACTTTAATTAAGATAGTTCCAATGGCAGCCATATGATATAGTGCCTGATCCGTCCTGTTCCCAAATACATACATATGTATGTGCCACCAGTAGCAGAAAGTCGGAGCTATGCTATGTTACGATATGATGACAAATGGGCATGGGTATATCGACTCGGACTATGGTACTGATCCAGACAATATATATATTTTATGATGATGAAAATGTCTCCTTCTATGAGTTACACATTTTATAAAAAAATTATAATACCCTCTTCAAAAGTAAGAGCTTTACTTTGTTTGCATGGATTTTTTTTTATAATCGCAAATAAGTACTATAGTCAATTATGAATATACATATGTCGATTTGCATGGAGAGTATGTACATAGCATCTAAAATGCGCAATATTCGTTTGATTTGAATATTCAAATAAAAGCGTAAAAATAAACATGTCCAGAATGTTTTCTATTAATAGTCTGATGTTTATAGTCTCATCTCCGTTGGGCTGTTTGTTTTTTAAAGCTCACCATAATAAAATTTAATTAGGTTTTTCGAATTGTGAAATAAGGTGAGCTTATTTGTGTTGTATTTGGACGATTTTTGTTAAATAACAGGTGGGTTTTGTGGAGCTTTGGATGAAATGAGAGTGAGAGTGTTATTTTTTAATAAAACATAATTTATATACGGACTAGATAATGAGTATTTTACAAATTTTTATTTTCTTCAGATTAAGGAATGGTCTTTAGTTCAAATAGTGTTGAGTTGGAAACAGCTGGGAAGATTAATAACAATTATAATGAAGGAACGTAAGAGCTGCTCGACCTCTCTTATGAAGGGGAGTAGCGCTCTTGAGCTGGGAACGCAAACTCCTTGCCCAGGTGAGTAACATTTATTGAATTGCAGACTGTTGGGTTGGACTTTAAATTAGAATTTACGAAGTACTAGCCAATATGGCTTTTCACTAAGACATATTCACTCCAGACCCTTACCTGGTATCTCGACATTCAGTTGCCTTTACAACCTACTTGAGTTAATTATCTAGTGTGTTAAATCTAAGGCCCTCCAAAGGAACTTTGTAGTTTATTATTTCTAATCATTAAGATACAATAATACTTTTTTGCATTATCATCAACAAAATTAGTAATATCTCGGCTAATTTGTATGCTAGAATTACACAAATATAGTAAGTCTTTCCATCGTCAAAGAAGTTATTCCAATTTAGTTTTACTGTACAATATATAAATCATGTTTGATATCTTAAACACGTTCAACCTTAAGATGAATGCCATATTTTGTGGCTAATGGAAAGTTCCGGTTATTAAAAATCAGCGGCACCTCCGTGCGCTTAGATACACCAAATTTAAAGCGACGTAGAAGGGAGATGAGGCCGATCTTGGCCTGCATTTTGCCAAAGCGCTCGCCGATGCAGTTGCGGGGTCCATCTCCAAATGGCAGATATGCGAATTGGTGTCGCGCCTTAATAGCATCGGGCTCGAAGCGCGATGGATCGAAACGCTCGGGGTTTGGATAAATTTCTGGGTCGTGGTGTATGCTATGTACAGGAATTATAACGGATGTGTCCTGCTCAATGACCAGGTCTGTGCCAGGCACTTTGTAATCCTGGTTCGCTTGTCGCATTAAATGTGGCAGAATCGGATGCTTACGCAGAGTCTCTGTTTGGAGAGTTCAGAGGTTATAAAAGAAGGAGATGTATTGAGAATTTGCATTTCCTACCTGCCAGCACCTGTTCCAAATAGCTCATCTGCCCAATGGCATCGTAGGTGAGCTGTCCATCTGCCGTCTCCTTGATCACCGTTTCGATCTCCTCCCTCAGGCGCTGCTGCACATCCGGCTGCAGGGCCAGTTCGTATAGACAGAAAGCCATTGTGCTGGAGGAGGTCTCAAAGCCGGCTATGAAGAAAACGAAAGCCTGGGCGGCCATTTGCTCAATGGTCAGACCTTGAGAGAGATCGATGCCATTGCCACGACGTGCCGCCTCCTCGTTCTCAGCGCGTAGCTCAATCAGCTGATCGAGGAAATCATTGCGCTTTATGCCGTGCTTGAGTCGATGATCGACTGTCGTCCGCACAGCCTCCATGAAGAAATTCGATAGATCATCGGGAAACACCTTCATGTGCAGTTTTTTTGATAGCTTCGAGTTGGTGAATATGAAGGCCTGCACCAGCTGGTGGTGACGCGGCTTTTCGAACAGCATGCGACCCTTGGCACGGAACTCGGCATGCGGATCGGCCAGGCTGTTGCATTCGAGGCCAAAGGCGCAAGTGCCAATGACATCTGTGGTGAAGCGAGCACAGAGCTCTTTGATCTCCACATCGCCACCGTCGGCGCGAGCAGCAGTTACGGCTTTGTCCATGGTGTCGGCCAGATGATGACCCACATCGACGACTACGCCGAACATGTGCTTCATTTTGCCGGAGGTGAAGACGGGCGTCAATTTGTGTCTCATGGAGCGCCATTCATCGCCCTCGAGCGTAAATAGGTGTCCCGTAAGCGGCTCATCGCGCACATTGCTGAAAACGCCGCGATCCTGAAAGGTGTTGAAGTCCTTGATCAGCACCTGCTTGATCAGATCCAGGTCGACAATTACAGCGACTCTCTTGAAGAACATGAACATGCCAATGATCGGCGTCTTGCCCTTGAAGCGATCGTAGAGTCTCTGATTGACATCGCGGAAATGCAACCTCGTGCCGATGCCCCTCATGTTGCCCAATATCGGCAGGGGCCTCTCGAAGGGTACGCCCCGACGATCCCAGTAGTTGTACACATTAAGGTAGAAGTTATAAAATATCGCCAGTGCCACGCCCAGCAGGGCGATCGTAAGCAGCACCATGACGAAAATCGTATAGAGTTACCGCGGCAAGCGTCGATGGGGAACTGAGTATCTGGCGAGCTTTACCGGCTTTTTATTTATATTCTGCTTCCAGCACAGACAGAAAAGCATTCGGAGATAGCAAAGCGATCTATGACTCTCGCAAATGTGGCAAATTTTGAGCTAGAATAACAACTTTTCTGCTTAGAGATTGAATATCCAGAGAAGTTATTCCCAAGATCAGTATAACTTTGATAGACCCCTTTGCTTAAATGCGTTTAAATAATATTATTCAATATTTTATTTAACTTGATCTCTTTTTGGTAAAATACATTCCACCCAACTAATGTGGGATCTTATAGATCGACAGTCACGTTAGCATCTGTTTGGCTGTTGCCAATCAAAAATATGTAGTGTTTATTCTCATAGTTATATACTCAGAAAAAAGAAAGCAACTTATTATCGATTTTGACTCATTCTCGAAATGACAAACACAAAATATTATCTATCAATAATATACGGATGTTTTACTGAAAGCAACTATTTCAAGTATTCAGTGCGTAATTGCGGCAGCAACGCAACCATGAATCTGGTGTAAGATAAGATAGTACGTGGGAAAAAAAAACAAGTATGAAAGGTAAGTCTGCCAGGTAGAAGATTAAATACTCTTGTGGAATTTTGGCTGTCTTTTTTGGTGAATGTCTCATAATAAACAGAAATTCACTTTACGACCGATTCTTACTATAGAGTTTTATAAATAAAGTTTTCAATAAAAGAACTGAGCTTGCGACCGATTGTTCCCATGTCAACTAAATAATATCGTTCCTATGCCAGCTGAAATAGTTGTCCGTTGTGGATAAGAGGTTGCTTATATCTAATAAGGCATAGTGAAACTCAAAAATGCTCAGTTTGTTCATGATATCTACATAAACAAAAATTTTGTGCATACAAGAGGCTTATTTTTGACGGATCGTTCCTGTGGCAGCTATATGATATAAGTAGTGCCCGCAACCGGAAAACCATTGGACATTTTCATGACGATACCTTAAAAACCAAGAGACTCGCATGGAAACAGACAGTCATCGGCATATTGACGCAGCTTTTGATACTGATAAAAAATAAAAAAATTGTTCTTGGGCTGTCTTTATTTATACGTTACAAATTTCATGTCAAAATTAGAATACCTTCTCCAAGTATATAAAAACAATGTCATGATCTTTTGGATGCTGCATTTAGTTAAGTATCTCCGCAGACTTCTTGGTGTTCTGATAAGTTATCTAATCCTGCCATTTGATCATTTTGTTCACCCAATTTGTTTGTAATGCGATCAGCATTAGCTTAGTATCGGTATAAGATGTTATTAGAATGTCTTGCTATTTAAATTGTATACCTCTTCTTTAAGAAATTAGTTTCACTGGATTATTTTGACAAAATTTGATTAGAACAATTGAGTAATTGATATGCGAGTGGATTCGATGGGTGTGCACTGACTGAATATTTTGCTAGTCCTTTGCCTTGAATAGAAGCTAATGAATTGTGCAATCTAATCCAGTTACACATATATTTCTCACCATTTTGACCTTTTGTTGTCTTCTTGTGTACTGTAGAAATGGAGCTGGGTACTGATGACAATTTTTCAATTAAAGTCTGCTTTATTTGCTTTTCTAATTGGAATGTCAGCAGCTCTCGTTCGCATGCAAAAGGTTGGATATCCATTGGATTTTGCTGCTGCTGCTTTGATTGTGTTGGCTTTTGGCATTTGGTTTAATTAAATTTGGCCAGTGGTAACTCAAATCATGCGTAAAGCCCATGAAACTAACATCAAATTTAGAGCCAATATACCCCCCAGGCACCACAGCGGGTGGGGCCAACAGACAGGAGGCAGCATGCAGACTGGGTTTCCAGCTTTATTGCAAAATCGCGCGCAAATTTATGCGAAAGCGATTAGACGGACATTAAACGTTGATTTTGATGGCCAGCACCGCCGGAAACTCGAGGAGGTCCTGCTGGTATTTTCGTTGCTTGTTCGCGTCCTGATTCTGGTCCCTGCACGTGCACGTTAATAAAACAGCGTCGCGCCCAAAAGAGTGTGTTGACGTTGTGGCATGTGCCACATTGTGTGTGTGTGTGTGTGGGTGTGTGTTCGTATGTGTGAGTGTGTGTGTGTGTGTGGGTGTCTATTGGTACTTAAAGGATTTGGGCTAATGCCTACTGCCTGTTTTATGCCTCTAATGCGCCAGAGCCATTTTCGAATAAACATAAAAATCGTAACGCTGCGTTTCAGCCGAACTGCAATGAAGTGTGGCACATTAAATTCACAGCGGGACGGACGGATCGAATGCAAAGCACCAATGCTTAACTTGGCTTTCAGCCAAGGGTAATGGTAAGGGTTGAGGTTATAGTTGTTGTTACCAAAAGCATGTTACTTAAAGCAATTGGTTTGAGGGTTTACTTAGCATTTTCTACTTCTCTCTTTTTAAGCGGATTGCTAAGCTTTAAGTGTGCGACTTTAAGATTTTGATTTATGGTTGTTTTCTCATTAAGCAGCAGAGGCGAGAAATTAATTTGATGTTCCGGATTTGTTTGTAAACAGCTTATACCTGGTTGGGCTGCAACTTATTTGACTTTTGTTCAACTTTGTACATGTTATCAATTTATTTTAAGTTTTGCAGTGGAAGTCTTCTGATGTGCTAACAAATTTTTGAATAAGATTTAATCCTAACCTCGTTATTTTGGCTCAATTGTGTTATAATTTTGTGTGTAGGCTAAATGTTAAAATCTCTTTAATGCTTGACTCCCAAGTTTACAAATATTAAATTTCAGCTAATTGATATGCTAACTCAACTTTGTGTAGTTTGTCAAACGGAATTCATCTCATTTAAGAAGCGCAAACGATGCTGAAAATATTTAATTTGATTTAAGATTTGGCCAACGTCTTGCAAATTCCGTCTTAAGTACTTCAGAGGTAAATTACATTTTCGCACTAATTAAGCATTTAATCGAGTGCCTGCAAGCATTTCGTATAAATTGTTTATGTGTAGGCAATATTTGAGATTTTATTGTTGCTCGAAGCGTCTCAGCTTTTTTTTTGTTCAGCAAAAGACTTTGGCACCAGCCGACAGTCCAATTTGTGGGCTCACTCAACGCCAGCTGAGGGAATTAGATTTGTATTTAGATTATTTTAGTTAGTTACAAGAACTTTGGTTTCCCATATTATTTATTTTCATTTCTCTTTCTTTTGGCAATTGGGGAAAACTTGCGGAGGAAATGTGTTATAATTTATTGTGCGTTTGGCAATTGCAAAGATTTTTGTAGACCGCGCGTCGAATTGTGTAACAAATAAATATATGAAGCAGATTGAATTGGAGAAAATTACAAAGCGAGCCAATGGGACGCCAAAAGCCAATGGCTGAAGGTCCCGCAGTGTGGTTTGCTTTGTTGTATTTTGGTGCAATTTAATTGGCGGTTTGGTTGGATGTCCAATTGCAGCGAAGTGAAAGTCAAGCTGAGCCCTGCGGGAAAATATTGATGTGCTTTGAGTGTCTACGAATGAATGATTGAACCTGGAAACATTTTTGCGAGTGATGCCTGCAAAATTCTGGGAAATTGATGTTTTCTGTTCAAATACTGAAATGCCAACGAAGGATCTGATCAATGAAATATGATGGTGAAATATGATACGATATTGGTTTCTGCTGAATATAAAAAAATTTGATTTTTGCTATACGGGAAGTTACAATTTCAATTCAAGGTCAGATTTCGTTTATACAAATTTATTTGTTGTGATAGTTTTCGAGAGAAAAAAGATTGTTGCAGATATTTCAAATACAGTACTACATTTATGGAATCGATTGATTGGTAAATGCTTTTGTTATTTAGTAGTTGGTAGGAATCGGGCTAACTACATGATCTTGGGTTATATGAACACTGAAAGGGAATAGATTATTTTCATTCCGTTGACTATACTTATATTAGCTTATAGCTTGATTCAAAGAAGTGAATGATCTAGGTGACATTCTTGATCATAAACATAAATACGACTCTCATATTGCGAGCGTGGTCAATAGGGCCAAAATTGTTTTTGGCGGTTCATTAAGTTTGACTATCAGGACACGATGAAGACCCTTTTTATATCTCTGGTACGACCTACTCTTGAGTATGCCTCATGTGACTGGTCGCTACAATATTCCATTCACTAAGGCTGAATTGAATCTGTGCAGAAACCATTCTTGTTGTTTGTCATTCGTGGTTTACACTGGAATCCTTGCATGCGGTTACCGTCATACTCCACTAGACTTCAGATGATTAAACTTTTTTCATTAATTAATCGTAGAATCGTGCTTGGTGGTTCTCACCCACCAAAGCTCGGTCAAAACTCATCCGATTTCCATAAGGTTTAGCACTTTGTTCATTGTTTGGTCTCTTGATCAATTTGGCATCTATATCTGGCAACATTATTCTTGTTTGAATATTAATTTAATAAACATTTTATATTGCCACCTTTTAAAGTAAATTTCGTAAATAATTATGCTTTGCTTAAGTATAAAAACTATTTATCTATGATCTCTTAATAAAGTAATTCGGAAGTGCTCTTGAAACTTTCACAGCCAGCAGCGTTCGAGTATGTTGCATATCCAGGAACTGGGGAGCTATTCAAGTGTGGGCTTAGGATAATATAGCAGCCGAAACTTTTCTGCACCACAATTGGAGAGTGCGGTCACGAATGGGAAGAACCTCAGCTTTCACCCTTTAGGGCAGCATGGTATAGAAAGGGAGCCAAACTTTGTAAGGCAACAAATGCACTAATTAGCAGCGTGAAAAACCAAATAAATAAGTTTCGAGTAGCAAAAAGAACAGCCAGCTAAGCGGAACAGCTTCCATTGGGGTTTCCAGCAAAGGTGAAGTGAAGAAAAACGTGTGATTTAAATTTCGTGTCTTAGTTTAATTTGCAGACAGCAAAATAATTGTAACATGGCAGAGGGCCATCAGTCAAAAGGCACAAAAAATAAATTCCAACCACTCGTGCTGACGGTCGTGTGGGGGTTGATGACTCGGACAGTGCCAAAAACGGGGCTCCGGCTTACGTGGCCCATTGATTTTAGGTCAATTGGCGCCGTTGTCTTGTCCGAAAGGAACAGCTGCCATGATGTGGCGTTAAATTATGTTGGACGAGCGCGTGTCCAGCCACAGTTTGCCATATTTCACTTGCAACAGTTCCTATTTTCGATTACTTCGGCGGCGTTGATGGCATCATCATCACCATCAACATCAGCATCAGCATCATTATCAATCCTGACCGTAAGAGCAACAGCATGGCCCACACTGCCAAGGGAACCGACAGTTGTGCACGTTATGTTATTTACATTTATTATTGATTCCCAACAAATTGCTGAACATTGACTAACGAGCGCATATTGTGGCCGAAAGGTCAAAGTGTCGATTGTGGTCAGCAAAAGCTTGTAAAATGCACGTAATTATGAGGAAGATGTTTGTGGTAATTCTGTGGCAGGTGTTTCAATTTGGCCGTTATATATGTGATTGCTAAAGAAAAGGTCTGTTGCACGTAAATTTATTCTTGTATCTTTAGTTCGTTTCGCATATCACTTAATTGGAGTTCTCTTTATGCAGGGTACAACATAGTCGCTGCTCTTCACTTACTCTGCGGGAGATTTATATACTGCGTACAGATAAATCATGCTTAGGTAACAATTCATTATGCTTAGCTGAGAGTCACTTGGTGTCTGCATACCAATTTGCCAGAGCATACTTTTCCGGCCAGAAGCCAGAGTGGCCAGCGAAAAGGTGATAACTTTTACGACCCAAGGATGGCCATTTTGTTAACAAATGGCTGGAACCAAAGCTGCATAAATTGCTAATTACTTGAGCGGAAAAGGTGTCCAATACTAGAGCTATGCGAGCTCCGCTCAGACAAAACACACCAAGTCCGAGCTGACAAAGCGCTTTGTAAACTTATCATGCGCTTAATTTATGCTTTTTATTGGGCTGCGCCAAAGAATTCATCTAGAAAGGAATAGAAAGCATGGAAAATGAAATGCAAAATCAAAGCACAGCGAAATTCATTTCTTCGTTGCCGTGGAAAGCAGTCGACTGAAACAAAGTGGTTTACGAAAAACAATAAAAAAACATATATAAAAAAAAAATGATGCAACCAGTTCGACGCAGATTAAATACCCTCATTGTAACACTTGGAAAATTTTGTAATAAATGTGTGGAAAATTGAACTAAAAATTCGACCAGTTGAGATTTTGGTAGCTACATGAGTGCAACAAGTGCTCCTATCCGGAAGGCAAAATAAGAATATATGTAAAAGTTAATTAAGATACCTTGCGAAGTGGTATAAACGCACTTAATTAATCATCTCAATTAAAGACATATTTAGAAACAATTTTACTATCAGTATTGGATACACATAGTTAAAAATGATCTATTTTAGTATCTAAATAGCACTTGGGTATTTGGTCTTGGTTGAGGTCACACTACTTCCAAACTGGGTTGCAAATCCGGATCCTCGATTTTATGAAATTGACTCAAAAGTGTTCTTTTCGTTTCTTCGCGTAACGTATTTCGCTTTAAATACTTAATACCCTTCGCAAGGGTATAAAAATGAGAAAAGACTTGTTCGCCCACTGTGGCAGCTCTTAATTTATTACTTGGATACATTTAAAAATTGTCATTTATTATTATTTACAGTAAATTAAGTGCAAACGTTGTAAACTGTTTCGTTTAAAATATCATTTGAACGCTTCTAAGTAATTGAATTATTGTCTTGTGAAATATATAAATCCATAAATCGATTCCTATTTGAATTCTGCCCCCATAGATAAACACTATGTTCAACATTTAATATTGACATATTTTATGGCCGGCATCTAAAATAAATAAATATAAATGTGTTTTATGTTTACGCTAGTTTTTAAATATATTTATTCACATGGATACCCTGTAGCAGCAACTGTAGTTAAAAGGGGTATAGTTGTGTGTAATGTATTTTACATATAAACTTTTCCCATTTGATAAAGCGTACATTATAGCTTAAATTGCTAACTGAGTCTTGGCAAAGCAATACAAATCAAAATAAATTAGAAAACAAATATAATCCTGTATTTCTAACCAATTATGAAGTTGTAAAATCGAGTTTTTTAATTTTTTTTTTTTTTTTTTATTTTTCTCTCTTTATTAGCTAATTTATTGATACTATACATGAGCATCTTAACCTAGCTTGACTATAATGGGATAAACATACTTAATATTACCTCGAGTTTTTTAATAAGATACAGCCTTTATATAAACATTGTTCGGGCAAGAAATAATATTCATTATTAATTTTATCTAACAATTATTCTAGTTTCTATCTGCTATTAAATAACTTAAATATTCTTACAATCCACACATTAAAATTCAAATATTTCAATAATGTAAAGGCTTATCGATAATATAGATAAATTATCTATCGTAGTTATAAAGCACATCATTCATATGAATACTAGCTGGTATTTCCCGGCCTTACTTTTAAGCATTCCCCATTGGATAATAAAAAACGCTTGACCCCAGGTCAGGTTATATTTTATATATATATACAAATGAGCTTAAAGTCCGTCGAATTATAAGCAAAATGTTAGAATCAATGTTTTTCCCCAAGAATATGGTTCTTGGGAATTGTGTAAAGCACGTCCCACATAAATTTGAACAAAAATCATTAAAAGTGAGCTTGAGATTTATCGGATAGTACACAATATTGTTTCATACAACAACAATTCGCGCCTTTTGCGGAAGGAACTTCCCAAAGGTAAATACAGTAACTCTTACGGCTTTGGGCTAACAGTTTTATATATGTATAGAGATTATTATTTGAAACCTATATAAAGGGTATCTTCTAGAATATATTGAGCTGTTTTCTATGGCAAACACAGTGCAGCTGGTAAATTGTTGATTGCGTAGGCAATTCGCTTGACGTGGCCGGATGGGCGCACAATTGCTGGGCTCTGGATTAGTGGCAGCCGGAAACTGAATGTGTGGACACAATCAATTTTCCAAATCGTTTGTTGTCCACGCATTAGGTTGTCAAATGCTCTCACGCAGGGCGTGTAGGCCAAAACAAATCAATGCCTGATTCGGAAAGGAACGCGTTGCAAATGTCAACACAAAAATCGAACAAGGAAAAAATGCTGAAAGGTGGGGCAGGTCGCGACGCTTAGTCGCCTTGTCAGGCAGCAAGTCCTTTGGCAAATCCTTTGCTGTTAGCAGCCAATGCTTAGGGCTGTGACATTTGCCGTTTTCAGCTGTCGTCGTCGCTCGTTGATTAATGAGTTGATGGGACAGCACTTACCTTGGCTTGGCATGCATGGCGTATGCGCGATTCACTGATTTGTATGCATTGGCATTGGCTGCATGCCACGGCTAGCACGTGAGCCAACTGAAGTGCAGCTGGTGACAATGACAGCGGCAACTCTGAAAGAGTTGTCATCGTCATTGCGGCACGTGTTACTGCCACGCACAGATGGCTTGGCAGATGCTTTGGCAAATGCTGTCGTTGATGCACTTCAATTTGCCAACGGAGTTGTCAGAGAGGCATCAGGCGGAAGCTATTAGTGGCTCAACACCTTGACGGCGTCATCCGGTCTGGTCTAGTGTCGCTTTGTTGATTTTCCGCTTGTCGCAGTTGACTTCTGCCTCGTTGCGCTCAATTAAATGGCAAAAGTGTCTGTGGCAGGAACAATTGCAGCC